CCTCACCCTGTAATAGTGGCATAATAGGGATTCAAGAGGACCCTAATATAATCCTTCTTATCCCCTATAGTCACTATTACTGGGTGGGGCGTCCGCCTGAGGGACTAACAGTAAATCTGCAGCAAAAGCCCCTGCGCCTGGCTCGGAGGTGTCTGCGCTGTTGGGCCGTGTCTGGGGCGTGTTTGAGCACCGTTTTCATGCCAGGGTCGCATACCCTGGGGCTCCATGTCTACAAATAGTACCTACATTGGGCCCCAATGTCTATGAATAGTACCTGCATTGGGCCATTTGGAGCCCTAGGGATAGTATTATTCAGTGGCATGCAGGGCCATAATGCAAAATTACGATGGACATGTTTGGCGGTGCATATCGTTTTAGGCGGGGGAAAGTCATGTTTTCACCAGGTGATTTCGTATAGCTTCCTGACAAGACTCTGTTAAAGATAACCACCCGTCTGTCAGAATATGCCTACCTCATTGTCATGTTTAACGCCATATGCTTCGTAAAGCCTACATATTCATATCTTGCAAGATAAGGCCCCAGCACATATTACTGGGTCCAGGTTGACCCGAGCTGATATTCAAAATCGTTCATGTGCAACTGCCAGGGGCCCCCTCACCTCACGGACTTTGAATACCCTCCAAGGGCCCGCCATTATCAGAAACCTGCACTGGGACCTAAGGGTGCCTCTTAGGATTTAAGGGTTTAGGGTTTAGGGTTTAGGGGGGACCTAAGGGTACCTCTAATAAGTGTGCAGAAAAGAGTGTACTATGGGGGCACCTTGCCTTTGTGAGTAAGGTATCCCCAGTGCTGTCGGCTACCAGCCCACGCTGGCCACTGACTTGGCATCCCTGCAGGAGATTTAGGGGGCTAAGTCTCTTATAGTACTATATTTGGGGTTATATTGGGGTTATAGAGGGATAATGGAAAAGAAAATGGAAACTACTATTTAGGGTTTAGGGCTTAGGGCCCCTAACAAGAAATGTTGGAGTGGTGGTATACCATTATAATGGATTGGAATTTTGAGTAGATTGTGAACGCCTGTTAACCAGCAAAAGGTGATCTTTGAAGCAGCCGAACCGGGAAATAAAGGGATTTCCTCTAAAAGGCTTATGGGGAAATAACAAGTGTGTAAAGACTGTCTTTTCGTGACGGGTCATACAGTTTGCACGTTCTTTTCCATTATCCTTATAAAACCCCTACATACAATATTAGTTTCTATTTTACTTTCCATTATCCCAACCGGGACACGGCAAACTGAGGGAGTCTCCCTAAACCGGAACACGCATGTCAACAGATGGCTATAGCCTCAACTCCTCAATGGGGGTTTATATAGGGGACTATTTAGGGGACTAGTATGGGGGTTATTAAAGGGGGATACTAGGAGCTTAGGCTATGGTTCAGATGAAGTTGGCATCTCACTTACTTGGAGTTGTGTTTTGCAAGCATCCGCCGCATAAGTCGGATTTGAAGTTGAAGGCTGCCGTGCAGTTGGCAAGAAAAAGGTCAAGGCAACAACTTGCTGTTCGGTTGCTGTTAAAGATCACACTTACAAGCGGTCACTGAGCCCTAAACCCTAAACCCTAAACCGTGTTTCCGTTCATCCCTTGCCGGCACAAAGCACGCGTGACAGGAGCGAATCACAACCACGCAGAAGGGCTCCATCACGTCCGTGCAGGCTTGCCAACCTCATGGGAGCCGTAGTCTACACTCTTTAAAGGGGAGTATTTAGCGGATTATATATGTGAGTATTATAGGGATTTTTAAGAGGGATGCTCAGAGTTTAGACTATACAGTAGCTCATGTTGGTGTAAGACGAATCGGTACAACCCAGCTGAGCTGTTGGTTCGGAGTTCAGAAGTACAGTCACGTCTCAGAGCTTCAAGCTTGGTGCTGGGTTCTAAAGGGGTTATATACGGACTATATAGGCGTTATATGGGAGGTATATTTAGGGATTATACAGGTGTATATATAGTATATCAATTGCCGAGGCCGCTTTTGGAGGCATGGCGGTTTAGACTATTACGACTGTAGACACTGAGCCAAGTGGGGCTCAGGTGAGTAGTGATGACATATTTTTAGGCTTTAAGCCGGGAGAGTGTGCTCAAGCGTTAGCAAGCACAACAACAGTTGTATGCCAGCATAGTAGCTTCAATGTCATTCCCGTATGTTAATATATCAATATTCATGTAATGTTCTGTTGTTGTTATTCTTATTGTGACATTAATGTAGTAGGTTACGCGTTATTTTTCATCTGAGAGCTTGTTTCCGCAATAAGATCCTGTCCTCCAGACTGAGAGGCCGTCTATGTGCCGGCCGATGACCTGACGGACCCCGCCCCCGCCACGACCTTCGCCCACCTGGATGCAACTACGGTGCCTCGGCGTCGGCGCCCATCAAATTTCAAGCTAGAAGGGGCGACTTTAAATCTGAAGGGAAAGTATATGATGAATCACACAGAAAGTTGACATCCACGAGCGTAACGATCGTATGAAGCGCCATGAAGATTAATCACTTGTATATGAGGTTTGCAGTTTGGAATGGAGAGTACGCTTCAGGGTTTGGACTAGAAGGCCAGTGCAGAGAAATCCCAAAGAAACACTTTGAACTGGACAGGAGGTCGACAAATCAGGTTAGCATGATATGGGTATATAATCAATAGTTGGCTTTCGCAACTTAATTCAAGTTCCTTAACAGCAACCCAGATAATTTGGGGTCGTACAGTAGTCATCATAATTCTTCGTCCTTAAACTATAAAGCCCAAACACTATAGACCCTACTATCTATGTAATGTGGTCAGTTGCTGTTCTTGTTCTGAAGAGACTCAGGCTGGATTCTACGTGGTTTTTGCAAGGTGAAGGCATGAAGGGATGGAAAAGTGGAGGCGTTCATATTGGTTGGGATTTAAAGTTTAGGGTTCAGGGTTTAGGGTGGCTAGTAGGCAATATAGAGGAATGGACACTGGTATATTAGTGGCGTTGCGTTATTATTACGTTCTACTAACCCTAAACCCTACATGGAGATCCGTGTGGCCATTCCATATTGGCTGCCAGCAAGCAGGTCAAATTAGGCCCTTGACGTCTTTGACAGCCCGAATCATTGAGATCGCTGCTCAAAACCCTAAACACCTCCAGAACCCCAATAACCCTCAGAACCCCAATAACCTTGATGACCCTAATAGCCCCAATATCCCCAACAACCCTAGTATTGAGCGAGTGGGTTACGAAGTTGACTGGACTTGCTCTGAAAGCGCATTCGTCATCCCCTCACGGCAAAAAAAATGACCTCACACAAATCGAAGAAATTGTTGTCCATGAATTTACGAAACCAAGCGAATAAACCTTCTATCTGGCTGCGCCAGTGCCCTCCAACCAGAAGCCCCGAAGTATCCTTCAAAATCGGACGAGGCATGATTGCAGCCCTTTAGTAATCACGAAGTAACAAGGACTGTAGCCCTTAACACCGTCAAGCTGGATTCCTAGCCCCCACCAGGAAGTGTAGTCAAGGTGCTGTCGCGACAGATTGCTGAGTTGGGCATCTACCCCGCAGTGGATCCGCTGGACTCCACCTCCCGTATGTTGGACCCGTCACTGGTCCTCGTTGGGAATCACTTCACACGTTCATGAAATTAGATTTCCCTGCACAACAGAAATAGATAGGTTTCTTTTTTGGCGTGGTAAGGCAGATTAAGCACAGCAGAAGGGCATAAATCGTAAAAGACGTGCAAAGACGACCCAGGTCCATCGTGGGCCAGCGCCACTACGACATTGCTCGAAGCACTCAGAAGATCCTCCAAGATTATAAATCTCTGCAGGACGCTGCAAGTAGGTTTAGATGGGGGATAAATTCGGGTGTTGTGTGTGGACGGGCAGGCGGCGTGCTTCTCACTTTTGAGGTAATGAGCATGCCACAAATAACATCTACTGATGCAGTTTGTCTTTCAGAGCCTTCGAAGGAGTTGGTGTTCGCTTTTTTTCCTAGCCCAGCTGCGGCTCCTAGACAATATTAGGGTTTAGGGTTTTAGGGTTTTGGGGTTTGGGTTTTTTTCAGGGAATAGTCCTGCGTTTTGGGGAGGGCTTGAGATGTGGATACGATGCGGGATCTCACTAGGTCTCAGCCCTTTATAGTGCTCCTAAATCCGGAACCTTATATATAGCAGCTTTAATTTTATTTTCCATCATCCCCTATATAACCCCTATATACTATATAGCAGTTTCCATGTTATTTTCCATTCTCCCCTATGTACCCCCTATATACCTTAAACCCAATTCGCGGAAAGGATATCAGGGAGGGAGACTTACGAAGTAGGTTAACAACCCCTATAACCCATGTAGTAACCCCAGTTATCCCTATAATTAACGTACTTATTAAGTCCCCATGACCCTCCAAGTAAGCCCAAGTCGCGGAAAGGATATCATTGCCATCTTGGGCATGGATGAGCTTAGTGAGGAGGACAAGCTGACAGTGGCCCGTGCCCGCAAGGCCTTCAGAGGGCTCAGAAAGTTCAGGCTTAGATGTTTACTGGGTGGCTTCTAAGGAGCTTAAGTTGCTGTAATGGGTGTATATGTATATATATATATATAGTAATTAGTGGGGTTTCCCCAATATAGTAACTAAAACTGATTAAGTTCCTTAGCAGCGCCACAGTTTCGGGTTTAGTGGTTGAAGGTTGCCTGAACCTCAAAAGCAGATAAAATGATGGTCCGAAGCCCCTAAAAATGGTAAAAGTTGCCATTGTTCTATGTACTTTCGGGGTCCAGGTATGGCCATGAAAGCAGGATTGATTTGTAGATTCACTCTGCTGCTTGCAGGCAATTAACTTGACCCTTTGACTAAAAGGCCCAGAGGCATTTGACAAATCTTGGCACCAATGCCGCTGCTTTATGACATATACAATCTCCAAGCCCCTGCAAAGTACTCAATACTTATTGTATGCACGCGCGCCCTGGGATTCCAAAACAAAAAGGACCGGTTTGGGTTGATCCCTATTTCTGGAAGCTCCCATACAATCCCTATGTAAGCCTCCTATCTAAAATAAACCCTAAACCCTAAATCTTATCGCTTTTATGGTCCATTTGATTCTCCTGATACCCATCCTCAAGCTTGGGGCCTCTTGACTTGGGTTACTGCAGCAGTTTAGGGTTGAGGGTACCCTAAACCCTAAAGTTCATAGCCAGTACCCTATCAGAGTCACATGATAATCACATATAGTCATGGGGTTCTTGTTCTAGGGGTTGGGATAGCCCAACTAACCCCTCTGCCATCACTGCTTGAGAGTTCGGCAACAGGCAGGGTCTCCAAAAGGCAGGGTCCCTAAAAGCACAGCCGTCAGCATGAGGGTCCTACATGGACGGCTTCAGGTCCCCCGACACAGGAGGGATGCCCATAGAAACCTGTGTGGAGGGATATATGTCCGGTCTTGACATGAACCGCCACGCAGCTCAGTTCAACACCGGGCAAGAGGCTTTGCGGGGCTTCTACCCTGAACGGTTTAGGGGTTTAGGGCTTAGGGTTTAGGGGTTTAGGGTCTAGGGATTTAGGGCTTTAGGGTTAAGGGGTTTTAGGGTTTCAGGGGTCTTTGCAACATGCCCTTAGTTTCCAGGTCTTTTTCCATTTGCTTGTCCATTCTTTCTCCATTATTTGGGATGATTTCAATCAATCCTAAACTGTGCCATAAACCCTAGAATGCTCTCAAACCGACTCAAACCCTAGATCATGAACCCTAAAACCCTAAAACCCAAAGCCCTAAACCCCTAAAACCCTAAACCCTAAACCCCTACCTAAACCCCCAAAGTAAGTAAAGCAGTGGCCCAAAACCCCTAAATAGAGCCCAAAAGGCCATTATTCTACATACTTTGGGGGTCCAGGTAAACCCTAACAGGTGCAGCGCTTCCTGTCGCAGCCCTTCTTCGTGGCAGAGATCTTCACAGGAACCCCGGGAGCCTTCGTGGATTTGGAGACCACGCCGGGGCCCCGACATATTGGGCTAGGGTTTAGGGTTTAGGGGTTTAGGGTTTAGGTTTAGGGTTTAGGGGTTCAGGGGTTAGGGTTTAGGGCAAAACCCTCGAGCCTAAACCCTAAACGCCTCAGCCTAGACCCTAACCCCGAAGTCTAAACCCTAAACCTCTAAGCCTAAACCCTAGACTAGAAACCCTAAACCCTAAACCCCTAAGCCTAAACCCTAAACCCCCAACCCTAAACCCTAAACCCCAAAACCTAAACCCTAAACCCTTGGAATGGGCGACAAAGTGCCTCATTGCAGGGTGTACTGCAGTGGCCTAAATGGGGGTTTCCCAAAATTAGGGGTACCTTTTTGGGGGTCCCAATAATACGGACTATAGTATTTTGGGGTCCATACTGGGGTCCCCTCATTTTTGGGAAATTGCCAAATATTTAATTCTAATAAAATGGAAGGCTACTTTTTAGGGGTTGTATAGGGAAAATGGCAAAGAAGATGGAGACTACTATTTAGGGTTTAGGGATACTGTCCCTCAAGAACGGAGAATCACATGACATGGAAACTGGGATTATGTCGGTGTTCTTACCCTAAACCCAAAACCTTTGGGGTATAATTACCCATATTATGTATGGACCCAGGTTCTTTTTACAATTATGGTACAGGATATCTCGAATGCGGGGTTCCCAAAATTAGGGGTACCTTGTTGGGGGTCCTTATAATAAGAACTATAATATATTGGGGTCTCTATTGTGGAAACGACCAAATGGACCTTAACATGATTTTGGTAATTATTTAGGTCCCTGCATTTGAGCCTCAGGGCAGGGTGTAGGGAATACCCCACAGCCTCCTCCGCACTAGCATGGAAGCTGGCTTTAAGCTGATCATGGCCCTTGCGGGGCCATTTGGGGTTGTTCCTGGTAGTTCGGCGAGGGCACACATCACGAAATAGCTGGTTTGCCTTTCAAGGTTTGAGATAGTTCTGTGCTTGTTGGGGTTGCTTCCTATGTTGTCATGTGTCGTTATGTACTGCTGTTACTATGTACCTGTTGTCAGTTGTAATGGTAGTAACTAGTAACTATATCTTTCTCGTCTTCCTTGTGTATGTGTTTATGTCTATGCACATATATAAATACGTACACATATAGCCCAAAGCCCTATGTAACGAGCGGATTTAGGTACGCCCAACTCCCCAAAATGTAGGTCCGTTCAGTTAACCTTATCATATGTCTAGGAAAGGATCAGGATTTTGGGGTCCAGGGTTGCCAAAACAGACAAAACCTCTTGACACTATGAACTCCAAATGCTAGAAAGCGCAGAACAAAGGACTTTGAGCTCTATAATTCAGTTTGAGCCCTTTAAGCCCCCAACTCCATCATATCCTACGCAAGCCCACACACCGTATCTTACACAGAGGCCTGGATAAATTCCCATGATTCTCACATTACGTATCTTGAGTAAACCCTGCAGGTGAAGCTCTTGAAACTCAAAGCCTTGGCCTTAACTGAGGATCAACGACTTCGAGGAGGTTTTGTCCGGAAACTGCGACGACATCCCCGAGGAACGCTGTTGTATTGTAAGGGCCTGGACAAGTAGAACAGGGCTTAAAGGTAGATGTCACTGTAGCTAGAGTTAGATTAGGGTTATGGGGGATAACCTTCCTCTTTGTTCAGGCTAATACAGTAGCCCAAAGCCTGGGACCACAGTGTGACCACAGTGCAGTTGTAGGCCTCACGGAGAAGCATTGTCCTTAAAAGGTGGCTTCATGAGGCTCCACATTTCAGCAGGGTTTAGGGTCCATGGTTCGCGTTTTGTGATATGATGAGAGGGATTGTGATCTAAAAGGTCCTGCGAAGAGTCCCACAATCCCTTGCCCTAATCACCCCTCCCCACATAGGAGCACCACCATCTATCTATCTATCTATCTATCTATCTAGTCTTTCTTGTTTGTTCTGTATCTTCTTTTTTTTGGGGGGGGATCTTAATTCTTGGGGGGAGGTGATTCGTAGGTTTCCTGTTGGGTACCACTGGAACATCACAAGGTTCAAACGTAATGACGGAGGCCCTGCCACAAAAGGCCCCAAGGACATGTAAAGGCTTTGAATAGGTTATAGGGGATATTCAAGAGGATAGTATACAGAGTTACATAGGAGCTATATAAGTGTTTATGTCGAAAAAACATTAGGACTGGCAGATGTAGGCTTCAGTCCTCTCAATGCTCACTGGTTCGTATTGTGTGTGTGTGCCTTTTTCTTTAGATCGCTGGGGTGGGATGGAGGACGGGGGGGCTGCAAACAACTGTTAGACTTCGAGGTTTGTCGTGTCGGTTTGCTGAGTAGGTCCCAACTTTTAGGCTAGAGGCGCGCATGCTCCGAGTTGGGTACTGCCCCCACTCCGTAACAGTTGGATATTATATGTGTATATATATATATATATTTATTTATTCATAATATAGCCCTTGAGAAGACACCTAATATAGACTGTTGCAGGGTGCGGGGCAGTACTCAAGCTGTTAGGGTTTAGGGCAGGGGTCCCTCCTCTCAGCCACTGTTACCACCGAAAATTTATCGAAAGGGGCGCCTGGTGTTGATGTTTGTTTCAATGTTAATTAACCACGCTCTGGACCCTAAAGACTATGTACATGGCTTGCAGGTCTTCTGTAGGTGTGTCATACACTTGAAACTTGTTTCCAAGCCTTTATGTGAACCGTGAATGGCTTCTAGACAAAGTTCACCACCCAGCCCTCAACCTTAAACACCTTAAAACGAAACACTGAACTCTAGATCCCAAAGGGTTTGGGGTCTTTGGGCCCAAGCCCGAAACCTTCAAACCCTATCCCAGTCATGCTAGGCGGCTTTCTACATGATCGGTGGCATGTCCGATGTCAAGGAGAAGGCTCTCATTCCGAGAGGGGGGGGGGGTAGCATTTGGAGGTTCATCGCTCGATATAACTGGGGCTAGAAGCAGGATAGCTTTAATCTTTCCAGTTCTAGCCCGCAGTAGGCCAATCATATCCTTACTTCGAAATACAGTTGAACCTCCAAGTATTGAATGTCGAGATTTGGATCAGAGGCTTAGGCTTCATCGATTTTGAGGGTTTCTATCCGGCACATGTGAGCCATACTCTAAACTCCTTAAAGGGGGGTTATATAGGGGATTATATAGGGGACTACTATAGGGGTTATTAGGGGGGATACTAGGAGTTTAGACAGTAGCTCATGTGTGACCCTAAACTGGAAAACCCGAAGGGCTGCAGCCAGACACGGCTATCAATGCTGCGTCGCTCTCTGCCAGAGATGTGGCTGTACCATAGGCAAGGCACAAGAAATCCCAATGCTTCAGATGGCTACTCTAATCATCTTTTCTTTAAATGCTACTAGTAGTACTCGTACTAGTATTACTACTGTTACTGTTAGAGAGCGGCCTGCCATGGGGCCTGGGTTTTTGCATACCCACTATTTTAACAGATTTGGCTGTAT